TGTTAACAACCAGGTATTCACAATTCTTCTAAGTACCAAGAGTTCACATTTGTTATAGGTAACTCTACTAAGATAAGTCGTAATTGAGTTTAGAATCCAGTATTCATGTCTCTTCTAGATAACTTACTGAATTAAATGGTTATTGAGTTAAGTACCCAGTAATTACAGTTCTTCTAGCCAACTTTGAGATAAGTGGTTACTGAGTTTAGAGCCCAGTATTCACATGTCTTGTAGTTAACTCTAAGATAAGTGACTATTGGGGTTAAGTACCCAGAATTCACATTTCTTCTAGTTAACTATAAGAAATGTGGCTATAGAGTTAAGTATCCAGTATTCAAATTTCTTCTTGCTAACTCTAAGATAAGTGGCTATTGGGTTAAGTATCCAGTATTCACATTTAATCGAAACGTCGCTCAGTAAAAAGCAGTAATTGTATTCCATAGAATTGTGACCTGTATACATTTAATCAAGCTAACTGTACAATAAGTGGCTATTGGGTTAAGTATCCAGTGACAAACTAGGATGGTGACTCTACTGGTATCTATTGCACAGGTTACAAGAAACTGCTACTTCTGAAATAATCCAGGGCGAAAACATTGCTTTGTTTAACTGTACGTAGCGGTGTCAGGAACGTGTGTCTAGTCGTTCAAATGGGAGAAAATCCGAGGTCCCGTGTACAGACTAATAATGCAATTTGAAGAAGAGTAGGGAGAAAAGTAATTGTTCCACAAGTGTCGGAATGAGGGATTTTAAACCCCGTTCCATTCTATTCCTTTTTTATATATATAACTAACAACCTTTGTCACACTTTCGTCATCATCAGTGCGATATTTCTATGTTTTGTTCATAGACAAGAGTGGAAATCGTACAGAAGATGAATGGTTACAGAATGGCCAACAGAACCCGTGGAGCCACCTTCATGGCACCTTCCCATGTTTATGCTCTACCAACAACAGTTGATTGGAGAAGCCAAGGTTACGTCACACCAATCAAAGATCAGGTTAGTATCATTATCCAAGTCACGTGACGGTTACCAATGTTACGTCACACCTATCAAAGATCAGATTAGTACCATTGCCCATACCATCAAAATAATGCTATGGTTGGAATCAGTCCATTCTTCCAGAATGTGATGTATTCGGTCGATGGATACATGCTCGTCGGTATACGTGTTCGTCTTTATACGTTCGCGTATAGCTCTATATTTCCTACTGAACTATGGAAAAGGTAGCTATGATCACCATACCTCTATCGTTCAGTAAAATGATACGGGCGATAGATCTGTAACCCAACCAATATTCTGTTATATTTTTCATAATTGCCTTTTATTATAACTGAATGAATGTGGATCATATTGGGGGTTTTCATCATCTGGTTTATTACGTTTGAAGAATGTGTAACCTAATCAATATTTTGTCATTTTGTTATTTTTATTATCACAGAAAGAATGTGGTTCATGTTGGGCTTTCTCATCAACTGGTTCATTAGAAGGACAACATTTCAAGAGAACTGGAAAACTCGTTTCTTTATCTGAACAAAACTTAATGGATTGTTCTAAACCAGAAGGTAAATAACTTTTCACAAGATAATCAATGGTAGCAATGGTAATACGGTCACACAGGATGTAACTTAAAAAACTAAATAAAGCCTCACATCTTTCTATTGGAGCAGCAAGATGGCGGGGGATAAACATAGCATTTTCAGTTCCCCTCAGTGTAGCGTAGTATGTAGTAGGGACCTATGATACTAAAGTATCTCATCTTTCTATTGGAACCACATTTTTTTTTATGGTGGTTGAATATGAAAAACTATCTTTTCTAGGTAATCATGGATGTGGTGGTGGTTTGATGGACTTTGCTTTTGAGTATATTAAATCTAATGGTGGTATTGATACTGAAGCTAGCTATCCATACACAGCCCGAGTAAGTTTTTTGACTATCAAATCTATCCAAAAAAAACGAGGAGTATTATACGTATATCCGATTGCTGACCATCTTAACGTCTTAAGTGACTTCGAAATGCAAAATCGGTATGTTTATTGTAACCCTTGTTTAAAGTAGCTAAGTCTCTAACCCAATATCATCCAAAGTCCTCGACATTGAAAACACGAATTGTGGTCTTACCGGGGAAAAGATGGGCTTCTGATATCGAATATTTAAGAGAAAATAAGCATTTTACCATTGGTACACAAATCGCGTACCATGCGCTTCAGCGCCATTTGCAACAACTGACTCGAAGAACGAGGCTAGACATATTCCATGTCAAACGGTACGCCATATACTTACCTGGAGAACATGCACACTAAATACTATTGGTGTAGACTGGAATAACCAGACGCTAGAGATTATCATTCGATAGTGACTTCTGGCGTATTTCGCCGAACATAACTGATTAGAAATTACAGTAAAAACAGAAACGATTGAATGTAATCAGTTTATATACATTCATATTACATCAGTATATGCGTTGCGACCCATTTGTGTCAATTTCTAGGTCCCAAATATTAGCGATTTAGCTCCTTTAAGGTTGTCCTGCCTGTACAGTAAATCGAATCTTGTCTAAGATTGGTGGAAATGAATTTTAGTAGCGCAAAACTACGAATTTTTCACAAACTTGGTACTTTTCTTCAATACTTTAATAACAGCAAATATTCTAGCATAATTCGTCTTACCATAATAATTGGCCATATAACCCACTGTTAGCCACCCTTGTCATGATACGATCCGTCCATGTAAACGAAGGTGAAGAATGGAACAAAAATCAAGATAACATTTAAAGAATAAATTTCCAAGATACCCTCAAACAATAGCTGTCGACATGTCACTATCTACGTCCCCTGAATTGCAATGCCTACGAAAATACTATTCCGTTCGGATTCTTAAACAAAATATTTACTGAAGAGTTGTGACGATGTTTCTCAAGATGAATCAATTGTTGCTTTGTTGAAGACCCTGCATTATTTCTATTTGTATTTAACAGGATGGTCGATGCCGATATAAGGCCGCTAACGTTGGTGCCACCGATGTTGGTTTTACTGATATTCCACGAGATAGTGAGTCAGGTCTTCAACAAGCCGTAGCAACTGTAGGTCCCATTTCAGTCGCCATTGATGCCAGTCGATCCACCTTCCATTTCTACAAGACTGGTGTCTACAGTGACGTAGAGTGCAGCTCTGTCAGACTCGATCATGGTGTCCTTGCTGTTGGTTACGGTACTGATGCTGGTTCAGATTATTGGCTTGTTAAAAACAGGTATTTACAATTATTAATTATGAACTTGAACTAAAACAGTCAATATGTAAGGGTATCGGTTGATACAAGTATGCAAATTAAATGCCAAAGCGTATTATTTATCTTGGTTGAAAGTTTCAGGTTAAGAAATGGGATCATTCTGCTGGTAATTGTCATATAAAACGAGGTTAGGCTATTCCATTCCGTTGTAAAGTGGGTATATGATTTTGTGTTCCTCTAACGTTGTGTGAGTTGGCATTACGTAGAAAGCAAATAACAAAAGACTGGATTTAGTTATTGTGTTAATGTTAATTATTAAATATTGACTAAAATTCTACAATACCACCAAATGTTATAAACTGTAACCAAATTCCCCCAAAATCAAAATACACGAAGGACAAAAATGAGTTTCGCAAACTTCCTAAATGGGAACACAGTACAATCAACATTGGCGCAGAATGTAATGAGGGGTTATTGCTTGAACTTCCAAAATGGGGACTCTATAGACCCCAACTGATATACATATAATATATTTATTGTTATTTTCAACTGATATACATATAATATATGTATTATTATTTTCAACTGATATACATATATATAATAATATATTTATCGTTAATTATCGGCTGATATACATATAAAATAACATATGTATCGTTTATTTTCAGCTGGGGTACCGTGTGGGGTATGCAAGGTTACATCATGATGTCAAGAAACAAGAGTAACCAATGCGGTATAGCTACACAAGCTAGTTATCCAATGGTTTAGGTTGTTTTATATAGCGATGGCAATTACAAAGCAATAAAATAGTTTTATAAAGAAAACATTTTTATTACTCAATCCATATATACGACACAAACCCTGCAATTGGGTTAAATTTAAAAATCGACATATTCGAATTTATTTTAACTTAAACTTTTACGAAAGTTTATAAATGGGGTCTAACGTCCTACTTTTCTGCACCAACCCGGATAATGAAGACGTACATACAGTGTGCTATGAGTGAAATTTTACCCGGACAGCAAGAGAATTCCCACTGTCAAGGGTTTAACACTGGGCGTCCCTTCTTCTTGTCGCACCCCCCTGATACAGTTTATCAATTAGTTGTCGCCTAGTTGGTATTAGTTGTTTATAAGGTAATAATGAAATGTTCTAAAATATACAACCGGCATATACCAGAAGTTCCCTCACATTTTTCTGCGTAGATTACAATGGTTACCTCCCCTGTCATGCAATGTCATTCGAAATCAGAAATCCAAAACAAAGGGTCTGTACTAATAATAATAATACGGTTCTATTCTTTCTTAAATGACGCTCCAGGCTGTTGGGCTCTTCAAATTATTTTATTTCCTCTAGGTTGTGGGTTACCGTCCGTTTCCAACTAGGATGATATTGCAATCGTAGATCAGGGCCTCGCCTAGCGTTAGTTGGAAATAGAAATGGTTTATTTTTTCAATACCCAAAATCACGTTGAACTGGATTCCAATGGAACTTTTGGCGCACAGTTGGAAGCTCACCATCACTGTAGCGTTCCACAGGCCAGGATTAGGCCCTGCTTACGTGACTTACAGATTTTTTTTCAACATTTTGACTTAAATGGTAAACATTCAAAATCCGATTCTAATCCTACCTATACCACTAGGTGCCCACATTGTGACAAGTTATCAGTTTTCTACTACTGTAAACATACAAAATCCGATTCTAATCCTACCCAAAGCCCAACTTCCACATGGGGCCCAGGCCCAGGGCCCCGCGGTTTAGGGGTCCGGCGCGGGCCCGTAGCCAGCTCATAAAATTTGGTGGGGCTACGGAATTTTTTGGAGGGGGTGAGGATGTGACCGGCTAAGAACGCTCCAAAGAAATCATTATTGTTGGCGAAATATTTGGGGTGGCTATCCCCCCACCCCCGTGACTTCGGTCCTGGTCCCGCGGATCAATAATGACCTTGTGTGGGTAGACACGTTTCCTTATAAGACATAAAAGGTATATATAACCATAAGTTTGCTGAGAGTTAGACTAAGAGACTAACATTGTTGATGTTCCGGATGTAGCTAAGTTCCCGTTTAATTCATGTCCCTGTTTTATCTATGTTTCCGTTTTATATTCTTGTTCTGGATGTACAAAACTGGTATTCTGTTATCACTAATAGTGTTACACTATGACGGAAAGTTTGCCAAAACAGTTCTTAGTCACAGCGGCTTCCAGTTTATTATGAACACAAAATTTTATTTTGAAAAGTGTGCCATATTTGATACTGTCGTATAGCATCGATCTGTTGCGATAATATTTCAGGTCCGGTTAACAATTCACATGCACTAGCCACTTTAAATTTATGATATTCTGAGTCTTCTAAGTTGATGTGTCTCACGTCAAGCGCCTTAGCTAATATTCCTGTTATAAAAACATCTTCTATTCGAAAGTATTTAAAATGGTTGGCAACTAAACGGATTTTTGTTGCTACGTTTGAGGACATTACGTACATATTGCCTTTACAGTGAGGGGGATAAAATGAAAGCGGGTACTCCTCTTTTTCAATTTTGTGTTTTCCCCTGGGGGCAACTCGTTCGTCGAAGACATATGGTCCTAAAATAGAATTATCCATTGATATTGATTCCAACTTTCGCACTAACTTTGGTAGAACTATAAACGAATCCTCATCCGTTTTCATCACAAATTTTGTTTTGGGACAATATGATGTCATCCACTTAAATCCCATTAATACTTTTAAAGTCAGGTTAGAATAAGCATCCACAAAATCTGCTTGTACGATATCATTATGAATTTTGCTTTCTTTACGTACGATCTCGTTGAGAATATCAATAGGATGTACACCAAACAAAAACACAATCTTGATGATAGGAGTGAACGTGGTGCCTGGCCAACGGTTGCTCGTGGCAACACTACCCCACGTTTGACGAATAGCTGCTCTCTGTGCTGTTTTGTCGTGGAGAGAGAGAACAAAAATTACCATATACGGATCTTCATCCTTGCAAATATGAGATCCATCCAAAGAGAAACTATAGTCAAGAGAAAAGGTTGTATTTTTGCCAGGAACGAAGAAATCCTCGTATGGCATCAGGGAAGGGTGGCCATAGAAAGGTTTCATGGTTGTGGTTGGGTCTGTGTTTTCTGTGGACGCATCTGTAGTTTCTGGAATCCGACCCGTGTAATACGTCGTCATTTTAAGCATAAATATAACTGCGGTTACGGGAAGAAGCGCCAGTGCCAAAAGACGCGGACGGAACCTCATCTTAATTTATCCTGCATATAAAAATAAACACGAAGCTAAATTATAAATAGAATACAGGAATACAAAGAAAGTCAAATAACATTGTCAACATCTTCATATCGCTAAATAAAACAGTGTTTTGATTGGGATCTGACTGTAGGGTAGAAGGTACTTCAATTCTTTTAACTGTGGCTATGTCCAAAGAACAAAGAACGCTAAGCCCCCCCCCCCGAAAAAAAAACTATATTGCTTACGAAAACTTGCTATTACCCCGACAGTATGCCATTTCGAAGTACCCCCCCCCCCCCACACACACACACACACACACGCGCGCGCGGGCGCCGCCTGTTTTGCTTGTTGACGACCCCGATGCCCTAACTTTTTTTTTAATGATACATGAAAACAGTGAATTTCGTGTATATTTCAAACGCATATTACAATGTATGTTTCAATCCCGATCGATTTATCAAAAGGTCCATATTTTGGAACTGCAATTGAAATTTCTGTATTTACAAGAGTTCGAATCGGCATTATCTTCTTTTATCTCGCTCAGTAATTAATAAACATCTTACCGTATTTAAAATGGCATGATAAACGTTTAGTGGGAGCAAGTTTGCAATATCCGTCCCAATAAAAACCGTTCAGGGTGTTTCATCTGTTAACTGATAAAATGTGACGTGGTTGGCTACAAATATGTGTACACTTATAATAGATAACAGGTGGCCTTGAATAATCGGGTCAAAATAAAAATGATAGCACCTAGCGGGGAGGCGATGGAGGCAGCTGCACCCCCTGGAAAAATCGGCGAAGGCGCCCTTTCCATTGGACGCAATACGAAGTCAACGATCAACGTGTCCATATCAGTATGGGTGCCCATAAAGCCGAGTGACATTGGTTGGGCGCCTCAAAACGGTGGTGATATGTGGGGTGCCTTATCCCGGAGGGGGGCTCACAATAATGTGATGCGCCTTATAATGACAATGTATGATTGTCGGGCCGCACATAATGGCGAGTGAGATAGTTTGGTTGGACGGCCACGACTTGATTAATGGGGCGCCCAAACGGCATGATTGGTGAGGTGCCTCATCCAGGAGGGGCGCCCATAATGCCGAGATTGGTGGGCCGCCCACGACGAAATCTGCCATATGAAAGCCAGCTGAATATCGTAGAAAATTTTCCAGGTCAAATTAACGATCGAAGGGAATGAGATTGATTCAAGCCTGCGCCAGGCGTGATAATTTTTGGGCTAGCTACGGGTCTAGATAGTTTATCACTGGGAGGTTTTCGCATTATTAGCAATCGAGGCCCTAGACAGTAGACATGTTTCTTTATAGGCCCATATGTAAATCAAACATAATACCCAGCCTTTCTTCTGAAAGACCAGGATTGTTTACAGTCAATTCCAAAAGAACAGAGGAATTCGTCCTTGCAGTGACCGTTTCGAAATGAACGATGGGTAGGTAAACCAGACCTTATTAATAGACGACCATATTTTCAACGGGTGTGTTATAAATCCCAGACAGTTCTTACCTTCTTCTAGTTGTGCTCTTTATATTCAGTCCGAATTGCGACATCGGCTGATCCTTCCATGGTGAAAACTACTATTATATATGCACAAAAAATTAGTATTGACATTGACACCTGAATGTAGGAAGTCCAATAGCTTCAACCAATAGATTATCTTCATCGGCTGTATTGATGGGGTCGGATAATAGCGGTGGGTGTGACTCGTTGTTTAGTGGCATTATGGGAGGTAGGCCTAAACATGTTTATCATACATTTTTGCGAGATAAAACATGTTTTAAGCGGTGGGAGTGAGTCATGGTTAGTTATATGATGGGAGATAAACATATTTCCTAATCTACTGAAAACTGGACCTAGACTAGCAATTATTTGCCCATTGACTTCAATGTTAATGAGGGAAAATTCTAAGGGTTCATACCCTCACTTTTATAAGTTCGACGTTAAACCCCATTTCATTTCATTTATAAGTTCAAGTATGCCTTCTACAGGTTACGTCACATCGAGAGGTGTAAATCATTGGTTAGAACTAAATATTATGGCCACCTGCAGCTTTGGTCAGCGCTAGCGCAAACCCTAACCATATCCCGACCCTTATTCTAACCCTACACCACAACAATCACGTGCCCTAGCCCAGTTTACGTCTCGTGACCGTAACGAAATCTGGATGTGGCCTAAATATTTAGAACAAAACTATACAGTTATATGGGACAACAATCACTGGTTTATTATACACAGGCACGACGTTTCGATAAGTATTCTTATTACTAATCATTAGAAGAGTTCAAACAATTAACAGACATATTTAACATCAAAGACCTGAAAGGCGCCATGTGATGACAAGGATATAGTTGTACATGAACCTTAAAACCACTCTGATATTGAAAAAGAAAAATGATTAGGGGGAAACCATACATTAAACAAACAGTATATTAACAGATATGAGCTTATAAACACACTAAATGCCACTAAAGGATTATAAATATTTAGATATGACCGTAGATATTGGCTGTGTAGTGCGTGCATTGTTTACATACCACATTTTTGCGTTAACTGGTACGGGCAGAATCGTGTCTTTTATTCATTTTATATACTCGTTTATCATAAATAGGAAATATTTTTATCTAGATATACTCAAATATTTTTATTTATACTTCAGAAAAATGTTCTAGAGGTTAATATTGCGAGCTCATTAACCAACATCTATGTCATCCCTATCAGCGACTGCTGCGGCCTAGCAAATATTCACTGCTGATCAGTGTTATTTCACTTACGTACTGGTGTTTTACCTCTTTCATCAAGACGTCTCATTAGAAATATTTTTGTTGGACACCAAGGGGGCGATATATTAATGGCTGGGGCTAATTGTCACACATGGTAATACTATTTGCCACATGTGGCAAGTCTCCTTACTGCAATTATCAACCGATTTCAATGAAACTTACAGATAACGATACCATTAATTTATAATAAAATCTCAGAGTAGCCAAAATTTCAACCAATTCCGGCCAGCGGTCTCCGAGACATCGGATTACCACATATTTCACCTGGCACGGCTGCAGACCGCAATTACCAACCGATTTCAATAAAACTTGCAGATTATGATTACATTAATAATATCTCAGAGTAGGCAAAGTTTCAGCCACTTCCAGTTGGCAGTTTATCGAGATATCAGGTTACCTCACATTTCATGTGGCACGACTGCAGACCGCAATTATCAACCGATATCCATAAAACTTACAAAATATAATAACATTAATAATATCTCAGAGTAGCCAAAATTCGACCACTTCCAGTCAGCAGTTTCCGAGATATCGGGTTACCACATATTTGATCTGTAAGTTTTATGGGCATCGGTTGAGAATTGCGATCTGCCGTCGTGCCACGTGAAATGTGTGGTAACCTTATATTTCGAAAACAGCTGACCGGAAGTGGTCGAAATTGTGACTACTCTGAGATATAATTATTATCTGTGAGTTCCATTGAAATCGGTTGATTATCGCAGTCTGCAGTCGTGCCACGTTAAATATGTGGTAACCCGATATCTCGGAAACTTACAGAATGTGATAACATTATAAATAATATCTCAGAGTAGCCAAAATTTCGACGACTTCCGGTTAGCGTTTTCCGAGTTATCAGGTTACCATACTTTTCATGTGGCACGAATACAGACCGCAATTATGAACCGATATAGGAATTAACTTTGTTATAAATAATCCATATATCTCAGTGCTTACTTTGTTTTGTTTGTTTTTTCACTTTAAATTGATATTTTTTTTTATTTCAGGATGGGGTGGGTGTTTTTTCATTGTATAACACAATTTTATTAGTATTGGAATTGACTTTGTTTATTAAATTAATTTTTGATATCGTTTAATGAATGAATAATAATTTAACAAACAAATTTATTGTTGTGTCATTTATCAAACATTACAGTTTAAACAGAACAAAGGGGGGGGGGGGAGCTGCACAGGAAAGGTTGCTATGCTGGATATAAATTGGTAAAATACAACATAATATGCTTTTGTTGGTGGTAATACACAAGTTTGTATGAAACAACACAAGTTTTAGAAATTTCAAGACAAGTTTCAGAAATTTTAACACAAGTAATGTTTAGATTTTCAACACAAGTTTGTGTTTTAACACTTAACACAAGTTTATGTTGTTTTAACACAAGTTTGTGTTAAATAGAGACAAATTGCTTGTGTTGAAATTAACACAAGTTTGTGTTGTTTCAACACAAGTTGTTTGTCAGTGTTCATGCATGTCATATTCCTTATTTGTCTTAAATGAGCTAAATCGCTAATATTTGGGACCTACAAATTGTTTGTCAGTGTTCATGCATGTCATATTCCTTATTTGTCTTAAATGAGCTAAATCGCTAATATTTGGGACCTACAAATTGACACAGTCATATCCAATAATAAATAATTATAAATTAATTATTAATCGTTTTCTATAGCGCTGAACATTCAGTAAGTCTGACTGCTCTGTGGCGCTTTAATGTAATATGAATGTATATAAACTGATTTACATTCACTCGTTTCTGTTTTTACTCTGATTTCAAATCAGTCGTGTTCGGCGAAATATATCTCAATCGAATGGAAATCTCATTATTCCAGTCTACATAGTATCCATTGAGCATGCTCTCCAGAGCAACCTTTGACATGACTCGTGGAATATGTCTAGCCACGTTTTTCAAGTCCCTTGTCACAAATAGCACCGAAACGCATTATGGTACACGATTCGTGTACCAATGGTAAAATGTTTCTTTTGTTTTAAATATTGGATATCAGAAACCCATCTTTTTCCGGTAAGATAACAACATCAAGGTTAATTGAAATTGACAAATAATTCGCGTTTTCAATGTCGAAGACTTTAGATGATAATGAGTTAAAGACTTAGCTACTTTAATAATTCTTCTTTTTTAATCAGACTTATACCATTATAACATTGACTCGGTTCAGTGAAATAAAGGGGTTGCCGGGTTATTAACGCACTGGTATCTGGAACTCATATCTTTCCTGTGGACATAATTTAATATTGGTGATATACGAGATGTTTGGAGAGCACAATATACAATCCCGAGCCGTATAATTCAAATAGAAAATATGACGCGGTTTTCGACGCCGCTATAGTCAGCTCAGATATGCTGCCTGCAAATCAACTTCAATATACCCCCCCCCCCCAACACACACACACCCACACACACACACATTCGCCCTTTCAACGATAAACATCGCATGGGTTAGGTAATCTTTATGCGACTGGTATTTTCAGGTAAAAGTAACATTTCCTGGTTAGGGTTAGATCTATTTCTTAAGGCCACCTCTAGATTTGGTCAAAGACCACGGGATGTAATCAGGGCTACCGCTCACACCAATAACCCTTACACAAACCCTAACCCACAATCTCGTCAACAATCACGTACCCTAACCTTATTTACATCTAAGCAACCTTGGCCAAATCTGGATGTGGCCTTAAGAAATAGATCTAACCGTTCTGGACCTACCAGCCCAATGAAAGCGTGTATACGCAATGCAGTGTGCTCTGATGGAATGTCGCCCAGACAGCGGAATTCACGCCTATTCCTTGTTGAATTCCAACAAGACAACGGTTTTTTTTACGTGCACGC